CCCCAAAACCCCAAAACCCCAAAACCCCAAAACCCCAAAAATAATATTTTTATTGAAAATCATTACATCAAAAACGGAATGCCGCTCTCATTATCATTCACAAAGTATGCTAGAGCTTCTCTTTTCCAAACATCCTTTCTTTCAGACTTATCAATAAACTTATTAGCAAGCATCACCAGATATCCTTTCTTCAAATAACTTAAAGTTCGGTTAGAAGCTGCTGCTTTCAATGGTGTATGGCCTAGAAAAGTTCTTGAAATTGGATTTGCTCCATGAGCAAGCAAAAGTTTGACACATTTGACATTATCCATCTTGGCTGCTAGTAGAAGTGGTGTTCTATTCCCTAAATCTCTTCAGTCAACAATGGCTCCATATTCTATCAACATCTTACACACTTCAGCATAGTTTCTTTTTGCTGCCCAATGTAGAGCGGTTTGATGGGATGTATCATAATCATAAACAGTGAACTTATTTTTCATTAATATCTCTTCTAATTGCTCTAAGTCGTTAGACTTTGCAGCTCTGATTAATTTGGCAGAGTCTTTTCTAAAGAAAGGAACATTAGGGAATACATTCTTTCTCATTAGATCCTCAGCACTTAGATTTAGTTTCTTCAAAATGTTGCTACAGACTATCAATTGGGTTCAGAAATTTTTCATTTTTCTTTTTAAAACTTTCTGCTTAATCTCCTCTTCCTCCATTTTTCTTTTCAGTTCTTGCTCCTTCTGGAGGATCCTCAGTTCAACCTTGCTTTCCTTTTTCAAACTTCCCTAAACATGAAGGATGACATTTACAATTATATTTTCTGCAATAAGTTTCTTAACTGTCATCTTCTGCAGATCCAAATTTTTCCTTGGCATAGAGTCTGCCATAGATTTTGGAACAGAGAACTTCTTTCTTGACATTGAATCATAATTATGAATTACCATGGGTTCATCATAAGTGACTTTTCCTTCTACCCTTGGCTTATTATTTATCAGCATCATTTTTGATAATTCTTCTTGATCCTCATTTCCACCCTATCACTTAAGCCTTCAATAATACTAATTTTATTTGAACTGGGCCAGTTGAGATTTTAAACAAGTCAGTATTGATGATTGGAGGTTGGTTTGTCTTGTAATTAAGCTCCATTTCTTCTAACTCCTTCTTCTTGACTTCCTCTCTCAGATCTACAGAATAAGTTCTCGAAATATAAGAGAAGTGTTACATTCTATGTTTAGTCATTTTTCTTCATCTTGGATAATTTTAGATATCTTTTCCTTCTCAGTTTCATGATTTCTATCGTCTATAACTATGAGTAATGTTCTTACCCTTCATTTCTCTGTATTGCTTGATATTCTGGTTAAAAGCATTGCAGGTGGTCATCAAAAGGTTGATTGTGCTATCACGTGATCTCACTGTCAGCTTCTTCGTGTCTGTTCCCTTTTTCTAAAATTTATGCAAAAAAATTACCTTTTTCTCACTAACTTCTTTTGATTGGTATTTCAATGACCTTTTAAGTTCTCTTGAAGATTGAATCAACCTTCTCGAGCGTAAATCTTTTAAAGAGTGTTCAGTCATCAACATTTTGTATCTATTTTAGAAACTCTTTGTGAGGGCTTTCTTGACTAGTCATGGTAACAGGCTAGAAAATAAGTAGAAAAGTGCACCTTTGATTTCGGCTTCTTCCCCATATTGATAACGTTCATCTCAGTCTTACTCATATTGTACTTGAACATCCTTTCAGGGCTTGCAGGTTTCTCGATCAAATATTTGCTCACCTTTATATGGTTGGTGTTCTGCTTTAAGAGATCATTTCTTTTCTTTCTTCTTGCTGCTATAAAGAACATAGTTACAAATAAGAGGATTTAATTACCTCCATGACTTGTTTGGGATCTCACATTATTAGTGGTATTTTCAAAGAAGCAGAAATTGGCTGGATCAATATTCTTCTTAGTGAAAAACTCATTCTTATGCTTAGCTTTGCTTTGTTCCACAAGAGCTTCTTTTATTCTATCACCGAGTTCTGAGTTTCTTTTCTTTCTATTTGATGTAGTCTTTGGTCTCCTCTTGCTTGATTGAGAAACTCTAGAAAATAAGAAATAAATGCTTACTTATCGTAAAACTTTAAGAGTTTATTTTCAGCTCCGATTAAGTTGTTATCAATACTTTCTTTTCTTATTTTCTTCTTCGGAGTTTGCTTTGAAATCTTTCCCATGTTAATTTTATTTTAGTTTCTCCAATGGTTTAAATTCAGAACATGACCTAGTATCAAAGCTTAAAGAGACTGTTCGGAAACAATATGGTATGATATTTCAACTTTATGAAGAAAATGAATCTCTTACCTTTCGTACTTCAAATTTTTATATGCAGTTTGAACACATCTTGCACTATTCTTAGCTTTCTGCAAAGATATCACTGTCTATGTCGAATGATAAGACTCATTAATGCTGGGTATGAATAAAAAATGGGAAGTCATCCAAATTATTATTTTCAACACTCACTCTTTTTCCAAGTTTATTTAGGGTCTTTCGAACTACGGTAGAATTTATTTGCATCATATGCTTGTTTAGTTAGTGTAAAGTCACCTAAAAGTTGAGGCTGTGAAGAGGATATTGATTTTAATCTCTTGTTCAAGAACATATTATGAGTAACATTGATCTTCATGTCCTGAATGATCTTTTGCTTCATATCTCAATACAATTAGAATAAATATTAAAACCTTAAGTTGGGGTTTTGGGGTTTTGGGGTTTTGGGG